GTTCCCGTTAGTTCCGTTTAAACAAGACAAAATAAACCCAAAAAATGGCCAAATGCAATCTTTCCGAATCTTTCGCAATCTTTGCATTTTTTTCAAAAAGCATATTGCGGCATATCTCTGAACTCGTGATAAAGTGTGATCGAGTGTGATTGAATAGCTTTAAATATCGTTAACAGAAACGAAAAGAAGAGTTGAAACGAGTTGAAATGTGTTCAAACCTTTTATAAAAATGTCACTCATTTTTTTTATGGTTAAGGTTAAGTAGAATCACTCCTTTTTCGTTCGTTCCGTTTTAATATTACGGAATATTACCTACAAAAAAAAATGTCGATAACGGCTGAAAAAAAATATTCAAAAGAATAAAAGAAACACTTTGTTTTGCTTTGTTGAACGATGTAATTATTTATTGTCCTTTGAAATGTGTAACCTTTCGGTTCTTATTACGTATCAGAATGCGTTGCTGCTCCAATGTAAGGCATTGAGCAGTGTATGTCGCATAAAACCTAATGTATTCATCGATGATGAAGTTCACTAAAAAATGTTTATGTTCATAGTCATGAGAGAAATCGCTTTCTGGGAAAAAAATCATTTCAGAAATTGTTTCCAAAATCAATTTGTATGTTTGGTTATAATTGAAGCTTGATGGAATCATTTTGACTTTAAGGATTTCATGGGTATACTTACAAATCAAAAAAGTGCTCTTGGTCGGTCTTTGTGTTCTGGAATTCTCAATAAAAGAAGGCTCAATTATTTGTTCGTTTTGTGTAGATATGTTTCTACACACATTTTCACAATCTGCGCATCCGAACCGACTACTTATCATTTTTTTCTCGATAGTACCCGCAATATACGCGACAGTTACATGTTCTTTACATTGCACTTCAGAATTAATTTCAAGCGTTCTTAATTCTTCTATATGTTCATCATCTTCATTTCGAACATGCACTTCAAGACGATTTAGGTCATTTTCATTTACTTCTCCTTGAGCATCCGGTTCATTGGTTTGCTTTCTCGAAGAAACCCGTAGTATGTTTAAATTGTCTTCACAATTCGCAAACACCGAACTTGTTATTTCATTATAAAACAAGAGCTTCCTTATGGTTGCTTTAAACTCTTGCAAGTTGGGGTTGTCATTGGCTCCCAGGAGTGATCTCACGCGACTTGAATTGAAGAGAAAATTGTCAATATTTAAATTAAGTTTAAAAATTGTCAATATTTAAAAATTTAAAAAGTTTCATCGAGATTCACCAACCTGAAAAAACTTTCCAGCATATCCTGGCTATAATAAAATAAAGCCAAATGAGGCAGAAAGCCTGGAACTACGTATTCCTTATAAATTTCCATTGCACTTATCATATTGATTATATATCCGACAAAACCTGTATGACGCCGTGAGAAAATGCACAAAATACCGCCAAGCCTTAAAGACTTCAAGTATTCGATCATCTCTTTGAAAAAGGCGAATACTTGCTCTGCGTTCTCCTCACTTATGGCGCTTTTAAAGGGTTGGTTTTCTTTCAGCCCTTTTGTGTTGAAAATGTCAAAAAGCGAATCCAATTTTGATGAAAAGTTGGATGTCGCTTTACTTCTGCGAAAGTCTGGATAGCCAGCCCTACGGAGATAATCCATTGATGAAGATGCTCCCTTTGAAAATACTTGGACCGCTAGTTTCACATTCATCCTATTTTTCCAGTAAAGGATATGGTGTTTGTTGATTTTATGAGTGACCAGATTACTTTTTTCGCGGTGTAAAACAAGCCTTTCAAAGTATCGCCATTCGATTTTCCCGAGTTTCGGATCCTGGATGCTTGAAAAATCGCCTAGAGTGCTGCGTATTAATTTAATCATGTGACAAGAATCAAAAAAAATATATATGTGGCTTTCATCCACCGGATGTATTATATATGGTGTTGGATGTGTTGGATCAAGATTGGCACCCATTAGCTCACACATTGCGATATTTACTGGATCGCCATCGAAGGTTATGTTCACAACTTTAACTTCTACTTCATGTAATGCAGTTAAAACTTTGGTGAGCAAAATGCGCTTATTCATAGCGGTTAAGGAATGTATACAGTAGTAGGCTATAGGAATAGAAACGGAATGATTAAGTACTGTTGCCATAAATACAAGGATTTTACTTGCAACGGGATACTCATCTTGTTCATTTGGTCTTTGATCTGTTGCAAAACCTGAGAATTTCTTTTGATCGTGTAGCCATTGAATGTGTCGCTTAATGGAGATTTCATCAAAGGCAAGGGACACCAACATTCTTTTGTTTTCTGCTTTTAAATCATCGGCTACCTTTTTCAAAGTTGTAATGGCTTCGGCCAAAATGCCGGGATCGCCATTAATATCACTTTGAGCGTACCACTTCCTCAAAGTTGTGGGGTGGGGTAGTGTACAATCAAATTTCTCGCGTAGATATTTAAACGCCCGTGGACTGTGGTAAAACATCGTTAGTGAAAACTTCCGGACGGGTACACTGTATTGTCTGTTATCCCGACTTTGATTCCTCTTGCCTCTAAAGCAATCAATTATTTCTTTGGCGTCATTCTGAAAAAAAAAATGAAAAAAGGCAAGTGTTATGTTTCATTTAATTTTGAACAACTTAATTGCACTTGATTCGTCCTAATTACATTCAAGTTCCGTTCCGCTGAGCGAAACTTTTCAAGCTGCGCGTTGATGTTTGCATTTTCCTCTTGAGCCTTTCGCAACTTTTCGTTCAATTTAATTATTTCTGCATCCTTCTGAGAATTTTTTTCCGTTGCAGTTTTCAAACGCTTTGCTAATTTCATGCTCTCAATTTCAGCGTCTAGTCTTCTTTTCAAACTATAATGAATTTTTCGGAATGTTTATTATTTTTAGTGCGAATCTGTGTCGATCAGTGTCGATTCGTGTGAATCGGTATCGATCGGTATGAACAATTTATTGCGATTTATTGCAAACTGTTGCAAACTGTTGCAAACGGCTGCGAACCTTTGATTGGCGATAGATCGCAATAGGTGAAGAAAATGGTGAAAAATACGGAAAAATAGTAAAATAATAACCACAAAAACACAAATACTAACACATGCGTCACAATCGTAATAACATAAAAACACAAATACTAACACATGCAAACATATACACGCATATACATCAACGAAGGTAACGCTGGGTAAAGTAACCGAACTGAAGCGAACACATAAGAACGCAAAAAAACGGAAAATAAAGACATATAGAACTCAATACCACCACCCGCCATCACCGGCCATTACCCAAACCGTCCAATAACATTTTTCTGCATGATTCCACATCGTTCCACATTAAAGCGAAATGAATTTGAGTTCAATTCAATAATCTCGAATAATCCCATCGAATTCCATGAACCGGTGTGAGACGAACACAATAGGACACAATTCTGCACAATTCTATCTAGAACTAATCTTACTTCGTGCTTGAATCGACTGGATGAACTTCATCTTCGTCCACTATATCGAGTATTGTTTCTTCTTCATTATTCGCTGTGGTTTCCTTTGTTTGATTGTATATTGGAAAGACAGTTGGAATAGCTCCAGGTCTCAATCGTAAATTCTTTCCTGTATATAATTGTGATGATTCAAAATGATTTGAACAAACTGAATAGTATAATGTGTTTCGATCGGAATCGGAGAATGTTTGGTTTGATTGAATGGACTCAATCCATTTTTCCCGCATCGTTTGATCCTTGGGTATCCTAAAAGTAAGGTGCTGTTTAGTCTTGTTTAGTCATATTTAGCCGCGGGCATTCATTATGTTATCGAATATTATCGAATATTTTGCGATCGTATGCGATATTAAAATCGTAACATTACGTAACATTAATAATATACCGGAATATACCGAAAAAATTCAGAAATATCGGATTGCTCAAAACCGGTCAAAACTGCCCGAAATTGCCACAAACAGCCACAAACATTACCTGAACATTACAACATCTTTGTTCGTTACTTCTATTCCGTTGAAGTAAAGACAACCATTTATCTTACAGTACTTTTTTCTTATATTTTGCGCATTGGAAGACATTTTTATCGATTATGTATTTTCTATGGACAAAAATCGACAAAAATCGATACAAATAGACCGAAATAGACACTCTGACGTATTCTGACCGCACTCTGACTCACTCTGAAAAAATACGGAAAATTCGAGAAAAGTAAAGGCTAGCAAACATTACAAAACGTTACTATCATTAAAATTTGTGAAAATTTGACGAAATTGACGGATTTGGTTTCAAGTATTTGCAGTTTAGCAAAATTGTCGAAAATTGTCAACATTCGTCGACATTTCTAGCCATTTTACCGGATTTTACGCGGATTCTTTCGAGCTTCAGTCGGCTCCAGCCTTATTGCCGCTTATTGCCGCTTATTGCGCAATCATTGGCAATTATTGGCACTTTAGACCGCTTAACACTAATGCGCACTAATGTGTGTTATATCCAAAGAATTTTTTTTCAAAAATAAATGGAATGAAACCCACTGAAACATATAACTTTCTCTCGTTATTTTTTTTCACTTCACAAAAAAAAATCCGAAAAATTCTGTTCAACACGGTTCCACCGGGTTCCACACAAAACGACACAAAACATATCAATAAACATAAACAAACGTAAGTCAAGAAGTCGCAAGAAGTACGCCAAAATGTGACGTTTTAAATTAGCCTCCGTCAAGTTGGTACTTCTAGATATGTCACTGAACCGCTCTGAACGCACGCAATGATTTTTGACATGATAAATAGGGTGCCACGAGTAGTCGTGAATAGTACACCTCCTTACACCTCTCATATGAAGAAGTGAGATACTTCTTAGTAAAATAGTTCTAAAAATGAATAACGAGCAGAAAAAAAGTATGAAGTAAATAAATTGGTCGTAACTGATCTCTAACACAATTTCAAAAGTAACATTCGGTAAATTTTATTGTTTTTTTTTGCTTCTCCCATTCCAATATATGTAGCATAATAGATTTCCAAACACCCTGATGTGAAAATGATTCAATATGTGTCTTTGTTGCAGTGAGATGTCGCTTTTGATATGGATGTGACTTGAAATCAAGGTGCGGTCAATTCGAAAGTTTCCGCCGTTTTTTTCGTCTAAAAATACATTTATTGCAAAATAAATTGAAAATGTACATTAACCAATGTATTCGCCATCGTTAGCTATGACTTCTAGCCATCTTTCAGGCAGCTTGTTGATTCCTCGCTTGAAGAAGTCCTCGTCTTTTGGGGTTATGTAGTCATCAACCCATTTTCGCACTTCCTCCTCATTTTGAAAGCGTACTTCAGACAGGGCAATCCGCATCGATCGAAATAGATAGTAGTCGCAAGGAGTAAGGTCTGCAGAGTACGCGGGCTGATCAAGCCGATCCCAACCGAGCTGCTCTACCTTATTTTTAACGATTGTTGCACGATGTGGCTTAGCGTTGTCATCGTGGAACAAAACATTGTGGTGTTTTCGAGCTATTAATGGCCGTTTTTCATCCAATGCATGAGCCAAATCATTCAATTGGCGTCGATAGCGTTCCTTATTAATCGTTTGATCTGGTTTTAGCAGCTCATAATACACGACTCCTTTCATATCCCACCAGATGCATAGCATAACCATATCGCAATGAATATCTCGTTTTGGCTGGGATGGCGCCGGTTGGCCGGGATCAACATACGCTGCTTTACGCTTGGGGTTTTCGTAATAAACCCACTTTTCATCGCCGGTAACAATCCGATACAAAAAACTGTTTCTTTTGTGCTCTGCAAGATGTTTTGTGCATATTGCGATTCGTGCTTGAAGTTGCTCTTCAGACAGTTGATGTGGAACCCATTTTCCCAGCTTCCGAATCTTTCCCATGGCGTGCAAATGTCTAAAAATGGTTGTTTGGCCGACGTTTAACTGCAATGCAAGTTCTTTTTGCGTTTGGGTTGGGTCTTCATCCAATAATGCTTGCAAATCGACATCTTCAATCGCTTCTGGCCGACCTGAACGTTCTTTGTCTTTCATGTCAAAATCACCACTTTTGAATCGATGAAACCATTCTCTGCAGCTTCGTTCCGATGGAGCTTGCTCGCCATAAGTATCTGACAGCATTCGATGAGCTTCAGCGGCAGTTTTCTTCGAATCAAATAAGAAAAGAAGGGCCCCTCGAAAAAACACCTTATCACGATCCATTTTCAATCGATTCAAAAACAATGACGCAGAACGAAAAATGAATCTTTCTGCTCTGAGTTAGATTGCTAAATGTCACATCTACAAAATGCAATTGGATTCACTTGTCAAGCTACGCTCAGTTACAAGTATTACAAGAATACATTTAAAGATAAAATGTAGAAAATAGCAGAAAATGCTTGATTTTTCATAAAAAAACGTAATTTTTCAATAAAATTAAAAATATTTCGATGTGAAATCGATTGGGTATTATTTGTTCGTGTTATATTTGTTTAATCCCACAGCCACAAAGCAAAAAATTCGGTAAAAAAAGCGATAGCAGCAAGTAAAATGTGAGTAAAATGTCAAAAATGACTAAAATCGATTGTTTGGAGCGATATACCGATTCGCCAGGTCCCAATCATAGGTTGTTGCACATTTTTGAATTGGTATTTTCATGTCTCATGATTCTGCAACGAATAGGCTATTTGCCCCCAAAATTCGTCAACTTTTGTCGGAATCGATGCAGTCTAGTAGAATAATGGCATTTTTTTTTAAGTTTTTCTAATTTTTTTTTCAAAAAAATGCCAAAATTCGAAGCAAACTAATATGAAATCATGTGATTAGGGGCTTTTATTTTGACAACAAATACTTGTTTCCAATGGTAGACGCCTATTTAAGATGATATGTGGTCCTATTTAGGGTATATTTTGAACAAAATCCATACCTTCGACATTTTCCACGCCAAATGCATATTCATGGTCAAAATGATAGGCAAATGGTGCCTGGTGTAGCCTAGGATTTTTTTTCGCCCTAAAAATAGGAGTTTTCCAGGCCATAGGACCCATTAAGACACGTATTTCTGCATTTTGAAAAAAACAAATCCGTCTTTAAAATTAAATCCGCGGATTTAACGAAAAATCAGGTTTCGGACACCAGACCATGCCTATACCCCAAATTTTTGGGTGTAGTCCATCTTATTTTTTTCTACAGTTTCTTTCCCAGTTAGCAGTTTTTTTCGAAGACCAGTTCAAAAAATTAAAGCCGGATTTAAAATTAAATCCGAAGCACTTGGAACGGATATTATATTTTGGTTATATGACAGTATGCGATTTATGATCATGGTTATTGCAACGATATAATAACATAACTAAAATGGAATTATAACCGAATTACTACAATCAATTTTTTACGAATTAGCCCCGCCTCGCGGCTAAACAGCTTACAATACGGTTATTGTAACGTTGCAAAGATCGGCTTGCAACATCTTTGGAGTTGTATTTTAGTTATAGCAACCTATTTGCAACCGAGAAAGAGGGGAAATTTGCTACTCGGGAAACCTCTATACAAGGTTAAAATGGAGTGACGCTCCTGTGCGTGGATTGACCACTCAAAAAGACTGATATCATTTTGAGTGGCGCTAGGACGCTGTATTACCTCTGGATACGAAGTTCTGGAGTGTTTCTCGCATTCACTATTATGAAAATTCATCCACAATAAGGAAAAATATCGCGTCACGACTTCTGAATTTTGTTCCAAAGCTTTCAAGTATTTTGCCGTGTAAAAGTCGTGACGCGATATTTTAAATATATTCACTCCATATATATCACTCCATTTTAACCTCGTCTAGAGGTTTTTAATCTGATATCACTATTTTTTCAAGGCAAATATCAGGGATGGCATGTCGAAAACTCTGTGTCATCTTCGACATGTTTTCGACGTCGAATACTTGTGGTCGAATACCTATTCAAAAACGACTTTTTGACATATATTGTAGGGTGGGCCAAAGTGTACACTATATTCGAATTTCGATACCGATACATGCTTGGATTGTGAGAATTGATGTAAAAAGACCGTGTAAAAATTTTGAAGCGGCTAGCATAACGAGAAGTGCTGCCAGAAATTTTATGTAGCTAGATCTGTACAGAATAGGGAAAAATCAATAAAATCATCAAAATTAGACTCATTTTCATAGAAATTATCGTATGTTTCGGCTTGACTTCGCTTTATTTTCAATTCTTAACATTGTTCAATAATTTTTATAACGATTCATCAAAAAAATCACATTTGGTGGATACAAGTTGGCAAAATGTCCGAAAAATGCTCAATTTTTTCAGTTTTTCGACCATAACTCGCGGGGAATGCATTTTTTTCACTCACTTTCTTTGTCCAAATTATAGCCAGAGAAAAATTAAACAACTTTCTAGAACACATGAACTCAAAAAAACCACATCCATTCCACTTTATTGGCTGAAAATCAAATTTGGCTACCAAACAACATTTCTGAGCATTTTTTGAATTCTTATAACTCCTCAACTGATCAAAATAGAGCAATGTTGTCTGAAGCAACTTTGTAGTACTGTTTAAGAGCTTTGCAAATGAAGTGCTAAAAGTACTAAAATAGTACTAAAAATGTACTAAAATGATTTTAGGCAGTTTAGTACATTTTAGTACAGTAAAACTAACTAACTTTTGCATAAATTGCCTTTTCAGCTTCAGCTTTTCTTCTTCGCCTTTCTTCAGTGTCCGCACGTTCTTGTTTTCTTTCTTCTTTTTTCTGCCCTTTGACATCAACACCGAGTAGGCAACCTTCGCGACCTTTTTTCCTTTGCGCAATCAAGAATTCTTTTGCTTCTTTTGTTATTTTCTTCATCGCATCACTGTTTTCATCGGCTGCAATATCAAATAGATCATCCAAATTATCGATGAATTCCTTTTCTCTTTTCTCTTGAATTTCTGATCTTTTCGTCGAAATTTTTTGCAAATATTCCCATTTTTCGTACAATTTGGTCACTTTTTGTGCACAATACCATGGCACAGATGTTGGAATTTGTGCATTTTGCCAAAACACAGAAACTTCTTCAATCACAAGATGAGAGCTCTGATTGACATCTAAACCAATTGTCTTTTTGTTGTAGAAAAACGGTAAAAAAAAAAATTGTACTCAAAATTCCGTTTCTCACACAAATTTTCTAATTTTGACACAATTTTTCCGATTTTTGACTCAAATTTACTAAAAATGTACACTCAATTTTTTTCATTTTTGACTCAAATTTTTTAAAATCCCACACAAAATTTATTTTTTCCACTCAAATTGTGCAACTCAATTTTCTGAAATTTGACTCAGATTTTTCAATTTTTTACGAAAAAATTATTTTTCTCACTCAAATTTCTGATTCGCACATAAATTTTAGAATTTTGACTCAAAATTTATTTTTTCGACTCAACATTTATTTTTTCGACTCAAATTTACGAATCACACATAAAATTATTTTTTTGACACAGATTTCACAATTTTCACTCAAATTTTTTCTTGTTCTATATTTTCGTTCCGATGCCTAACATGTGTATAAGTGTTCAGTCCTGATATTTGTTGATGAACAGATAGAGAGAGATGGATTTTTGTATCTGAATTGATCACTTACTGGAACCCTTGTCTATTTAGCACAACTGGAAAACTTGTGCTCGTTCAATGAAATTTCATTTCAAAGACAAATTATCATTCCATTCGAATTTGATCGATTTCTGGTGATAATAAGGAATGTTTGTTTAACTAATATTTGTATATTTTACATTCTACTGAATGTACTATGATTTTATTTTGTGTGCACAAAGTCGCGCACTATTCATTCTATATCAGAAATGCCACACAGTGTATTTAGTTTACTTGAGTCTTTCTCTTTGTGGCGCATATGGATTCCTGGGTTTCCGCGCGCTACGCGCGCGGGGAATTCCTAATGCCTCCCAATGAAATAACAACAGAGAATTTATAAAATAATATGTATAAGTTATATATAATATATGTGATGAAAATAGTTTTTTTTGGGCTTCGCTTCGCTCCGCTCTGCGTTCTTGAGTTTTTAGTTATTTAATCTATTTTGTTGTTTCACAACAAACTATTTTTTGGCGCACTACATGAAATGTATTTCATCAAAGTAACTTTGAAGTAATATATTTATTTTCAAAATGAATCACAAGATGTTGGTTTTATTTCTTTTTTGAAATATACTGCCTTTGATTTAAATTAAATAAATAATATGAGCATAAAATTCAAATTCACCATAATTTGTTTCATCGCTCAAAAAGTATCTAGAAAAAAAGCAGATTAGTAGCTCTACATTTCATGTAGTGCTAAAAAAGGAATTTTAACGCCAGAAAATGTTAATGTCATCAGACGAATGTTTAAGGAGAGACTTTTGGATGTGGTTGGTGGACCGGCACCAGAGACAGAACGAACAGAGAGAGAGAGTAAAAAGTAAACAGGTACATTAAAGATGCACAAGCTAATATCACCAAATCGTTGAAATCATCTCATGTTGTTCGTAAATTATTTGAACAATAAATCACGAAAAACATTGAATTCCTTTTGTTTTCATATTTCGAAAAAATTTCATGGTAGAACTATCTGTATGAACATCGTAAGGTAAACAGGTGTTACGCATTTTTGTTCTCACTCAAGTTTCAAAAATAAACAAAAAAAAACATTTGATATTCGATGGCTGAGATTGAGGAAATTTTTTTCATTGCTACTTACATTTTTATGATTGTGTGTTTGTGTGCATATTTATGTGTGATTTTTTCGGTTTGGTAGCGGTCAATTTTATTCGAATAAAAATTAATCCTTTTCATTTATGTAAATGAGTGTACAATATTGAATTTTCAGTCGACAAGCACGTCAACACAAACGGAATGTTTATGCATCATTTCATATTCACATTCCGCCAAGTACTCACACACCACACATGTACACAACCACATTACTTCAGACCGGATGATAATTGCAATTAGAAACTTGAACAGTTCATTACAGAAACCGAAGAACAACAGAAACCAAAGAAACGTAAGAAATAGAGATTTAGTTAGAATTGAAAGTTATGGCACGGACTATGCTCGTAATCAGCCATTTATTGTAGCTTGTAGAAATTTTAACAAAGTAAGGCAATCGTTCTTAGACTCAGCATCAAGGCAAATATTTAGTAGAAACGTGTTCAACTTAGACAACAGTATTTTCGAAGAATTGTATGTATAGTGAATAGTGGTGAACACGGTCGGGGGCCGCAGAATGCCACTTCGAAGCCATTTGGGCTGGTGGCTAGGCCGTTCGATTCGGAAGTGTCTCACTACTTGTGTAAAATTCAAATTGTAAATGAAATGTATAATGCACATAGAAAAGAGAATTATTAGACCCTGCGAATTCCATTGGTGAAACGTCAAACTACCAATAGATTGTTTCAAATGTATTGGTAAATTCAGTACAAACGGCACAACGCAAGTCGCAAGTCACTTACGTAGTATTAGTAAACGAAATTCGGCATTTGTACTGAAATTACCAATACATTTGAAACAGTCTATTGGTAGTTTGATGTTTCACCAATAGAATTTGCAGGGTCTACTGATTCTCTTTTCTATGTGTGATATTCAGTCTGCGATTAGACGGTGAAATAAATATATAAATTACCAATATGTATGACAGCAAAGAATACACACCTCGACTCGTATGCAACAGAAATAATCCTTTCGGATTGTCAAAGAATTTTACTCCAGGCGAAAAAAATGTTTGTAGCCAGAAAAAGAGTCTGTCTGTTTCAGTTTGTGTTGTTGTTTTGTTTTCGTTTTAAGCGGCATTTTAATTATTATTACACCAACAAAAGAGACAAAGCAAAAGACGAAATGTGCATTGAACGAACCCTTTAAGCAGCAACAACGACACAACAAAAACCGCGCTGTAAAAATCAAATAAAAAAATGAGGGACAACTCTCCATTGGCAGCCCATTCGTCGATTTGGTTGTTGACCCATTCCTCATCAATCGATAAATTGGGTTGGTCGACGGCATCAGTTTCTGTTTCACTTTCGTCACGGAGATCAACAACATCTTCGGGGGTTTGTGTTTTCTTTTTTTGACGATTCTTGCAGTTGAGTCTCCAATGCTTTCACGTGAATATTCAAACTGCGAACTTTCACTTTCAACTTGGAAATTTCTTCACTTTGTCGTGCGATTTGTTTCGTTTTTGGAGTGGCCTCTTGTTCGCCTACAAACACAATCGATGTGTCGGCTTCAGCTGCTGCTTCGGTCGGATCGGTCACATCATTCGATTCACCTTCTTCGTTTTGGGCAGCATTTGCTGCCGGTGCAATTGAATCGTCCGTTGCAATGAATTCATTTTGAACCTGGTCACGGTTCATTCGGTTATTTTCATATTGTTCCACGAACGAGCGGCTCAATAAAACACGACAATCTCTGGTGCACAACCCCTGCACCACACTAACAAAACAAAGTAAAACACGAATTTGCGATGAGCGCATTCAGTGAAGTTCATTTCAATTCTTTACGTCGTTAGACGCACTCATGAACGCGACAAATTGAACGCAACAACAATAATCCGTAATGAAAGAAACATTTTTTACTTATAATATTGATGTTTATCACGTGCTACGCTCTCACAAAAATCAATTTTGCACATTCGTGACATTTTTATTTTTTTTGTCTACTTCATTAACAAATATAAAAAAGATTCAATAATACATTGAACGATCTGTGTCACAACTTTTGACACTTGTCTCGTAGCGCTAGAAGTGAGCTGTCAGACGCTTAGATGCAGGACCTTCGCTCTGGTGCTGAGCTGCACATCACGCCCAGGATTTTCATTGCGCGCTACAGATTCACAAATTTATATTTGTTAACACTTTATTTTTTCACAGCAGTAAATCTAATGCTTCTGAATAAAATTAGGTGAAAATATACCTGGTCTGCGATTACGAGCACGATTAGTAGATCGACTACGATTCATTTTTATTTTTTTACTTGATATGATGAAAATGCAACCATTCACTGTGCGGAACAAATCGAAAAGAAATTTCGCACTTGACACTGGACAGAGGTTACTATGATTTATGCCATACGGAAGCACCGTGCGTATGGGCTTATGTTTATTAGTGTGCGTTCGTTACTGTTTATTTGCTTAGAATGTATGACTGACTTGAAAAACTTTAAAACGGTATCAATTATTTTTTTGGATACTCCTTGTTTGATTTAGCTTGAATTTTTCCCTTAAGTTGGCGAATGATTAAATCTTTTTGTAAATTCTCGATCAAAAAATTTTGATAGTTTTCTTTAAGTTCTCGCGCTTCTCGCGTTTTTTCTTCAATCTTTTTTTTCAATATGTCAATGTTGTCACCACAGCACGATATTGTGTACTGGACATTAACGGCTTTTGCCGCACGCATACATATTTGCTGAATCAGTAACAGACAAAGCGTTGCACTTGTAAGACATTTTTCTAAAAGAAATCAAGTCAAAATCACAATGGATAAAGATGAAATTTTTGATTTAAATGTTAGTTTTACTTCAAGTGACTGCAGCAATTTAGATTTGAGTGAGATCAATGAGTCGAATGATACAAAATTACTCAACTTACTTCAAATAAGTTTCGACGTATTATAATAAGTATTGGATATGTAGAATGAGTGAATTAGTGGGAGTCAGCAATGTATCGAATAAAAGACGTGTGGTGTGAGTGGTGGTCAAGTTGCGACTGACTCGCATGCTTTAATTATACAGTTAATTGCTTTCGTTTACACATACTGAAATAATACTACCACACCTCCATTTTTTGGAGAATGAATTAAAATTAAAATTAAAGCAAACTAAAAGGAGTGATCAATTCCCTAATTTTTCAAACTTTGATTTTAATTTACAATTTATTCTTGACTGTTTGTCGTTGTTTTTCTATTTTTATGGTTTTTCTTTTACTGTTTTTTTTTTCTTTGATTTTCTTTCTTGTTTTGATTTATTTTCGTTTTTAAATTTTAGCATATAAAGAAATGGCTTCTTTTCTTTGTTCATGATGAAATTGAAAAGCATGTTAAGAAATGCAGCAATAAAAAAAAATACAATATAAAATAAATTGAATTGAATTACAATTGTTATAAAATGAATTATGCATGTTCAGAAATGCAATAGAAAATAAGGGAACAAAATTTAAATGAAAAAATAGAAATTATAAGCATGTTTAGAAATGCAATTTGATATAAGGGAACAAAATTTAAATAAAATTTATAAGCATGTTTAGAAATGCAATTTGAAATAAGGGAACAAAATAAAAATAAAAATTATAAGCATGTTTAGAATTGCAGTAAAAAAAAACTGAAAAAGATAAAATTTGGCATGTTTAGAAATGCAAACTAATCGAAAAATTTCTTAATTCTATTTTTATGTACCGTAGTACTTTTCTTATTCAAATCAATGACCGTTACATTCTCGCCATCTACACTTACGACAGTGAATGGGCCTTTATACGTGTTTGCCAGCATACTTGTGACCAGCCTCATTCCTTATTTTTATTTTCTCTCCTATCTCTATCTCTATCGCTCTCGTATCTCTATCGTACAATTCTTTCATTCTTTCCTTATATTTGATGAGCATATCTCTTGCCTTCTTGTTCGTTCTTTGAATGCGAAATCTTAGCTCGTTCACATAATTTTCTATGTTATACACTGGTTCTATCGATTCGAATTTATCACCAGGCATGTTGGCCTCCCTAGCAAAAACTAATTCGAAAGGCGTGAACTTATGCTTTAAAGAAGAATTTGGCGTGGTATTATAGCAAAATTGGAAATACTTGGCGTAAATATCCCAATCATCGAAATTTTCCTGTAAATAGCATCTCAGATATGAATTGAAAACTCTGTGGTTTCTTTCCACCGTTCCTACCGTTTGATGATGATAGGGAGTGCTAAAATTATGTTCAAATTCTAAAAGCTTCGATAATTCAGCAAACGTTTGATTTTTGTACTCCGTGCCCAAATCTGTTCTGATCGATTTCATGGCACTGTAAATCAAAACGAAATGTTCGAAAATGGCCCTTGCTACAGTCTTCGCTTCCTTGTTTGGTACTGGGATAATTGT